TTCGTACCATAACCATAAGCCATCTAACTTTTATGTATATACTATAAAATCAAAAACTCCATAATGATGGTATTATATGTGAAGAATAAAACATCTTTAATCGAATTCAATAAGTGTCAAAACCATTAATTGAACAATTCCATTCAGTATCGATCAGTCCAACAAGGCCCCATTCGTTAATCCCTATTTTCTTTATATGCCTTCCAAAGGCTATAGGGAATAACCCTTTAATGAATCCACTTTCATGCAATTATTACTAAAATGCTCAAATGACACTTTAATTCTTCACTTATATTTTACGACCAAGTATTTCAATTTTATGTGATTCACACCCTTTGAATACTTGTCATTCGACCAAGTATTTCAATTTTATGTGATTCACACCCTTTGAATACTTGTCATTCCTTGAAATATTATTGCTACAAAACTACGTTAATTCTTAGCGCCTTGGACAAGATGTCGACATTTCCAAGTCCTAAGATAAAGCATCGTAGCCCTAATTTTGACTTGTGGCCTCAAAGCATACCACAAACTCAAACTTAAGTGGAAGTCACGATGATGGACTTTGTTCCACCTTTTCAGTAATCTTGCTCCTTTAAACATTATGAACAAAAGTCTGAATCCAAGTATCCAATTATAACGAATAATTTGGATCTTCTTTACGATAGCATGTGTTCTTTAATGCCTTGTAAATACTTTTTAAAAATTTCTTTGCAGCATTTAAATAATCATTTAGAGATTACTTTTATATTTGCTTAACGTACCAGCAACAAATATGTAATCAAACCAAATACAGGTTCGTCTCACTTAAGACTCCTAATCATTTATATCTAAGAAAATTTCTCTATCACTTTTTTCCATTTCACCTTTTCGGACATTTAATTTAGACTAAATGTACCCCTTCTATGAATTAAAATTATACAGAACAACCATCCATTATCTCTCAAATAAAAACTTTTATGGAATAAAACTTTTGTCCTAGTAATCTATTCCAGAATATTTCTATTCCAATTACCAAGTACGTTTCATCCATATTCTTTATTTCATAATTTTTCAAAGAGATAATACTTTAATTCGTGCAACATGTTCACATTATTAGCAACTATAAATATGTTATCGACATACGGAACTAAAATAACAAATCTACTCCCACTAACCTTAATATAGATACACCGGTCTACGGTATTCTCTATAAAACCATAAGCAGTGATGATATCATTAAACTTAAGATACCATTGATGAGAGACTTGTTTTAGTCAATATATCAATCTATTCAACTTACACACTAACATTTCATTCTTGTGATCTCAAAAGGGTAAAAGGGTAAAAACGGCAAAAACGTTTGGACCTGATTTTATTACGTATATGTT